CTGACTGTTCGACGAGTTACACTCCAGCCACACACAGCCCGTGCAGAGGAACCACACGTTGCTCCCAAGCCTCTGTGCCAACCCTTCACTTCCTGCACCATTAAATCGAGGCCCTTCTGGGAACAGCGACAGCTGAACTGCTGAGGAGATGCTCCAGCAGGCTGGGGAAGGGCCATGTGCTTCAGCGGAAGAGATTCCTGAGCAAATCTGGCTGTGGAAGCCTCGACGTGCCCATCTGCTCTGATGATTTGGAAGGGGGGGTCTGTTCATGACAGATTTAAAGGGGGAAGAGATGAAAGCAGGCTTGCTGGAGATAAGCCTTGGGGTTGGAGTCCCCTGGGGGCCTTAGGGGAAGGGTTTAGAACCCAAGTGTGGTGAGGAGTGGCTGAGGGACCTGGAGGGGGTTCAGCCTGGAGCAAAGGAGGCTCAGGGGAGACCTTCTGGCTCTCCACAGTTCCCTGACAGGAGCCTGGAGCCAGGGGGGGGTCGGGCTCTTTTCCTGAGGAACAAGTGACAGGACAAGAGGAATCGGCCTCAAGTTGCCCGAGGTTGGCCCTGAGGAACAATTTCTTCCCCTTGAAGGTTGTCCAGGGCTGTGCCAGGCTGCCCAGGGCAGGGGTGGAGTCCCCACCCCTGGAGGGGTTCCCACGCCGTGGAGATGTGGGGTGAGGGACACGGGGCAGTGGGGACCTGGCAGTGCTGGGGGGATGGTTGGACTCCAGGAGCTTAAAGGTCTCTTCCAACCCAAACAGTTCTGTGATTCTGTGACCCTCTATAACTTTAGTGCCTGTAATATGTGGCACGATTCATGTAGTGGTGAGAAAAGAAATAAATCCATCAGCTGAGCCTGCCTGCAGGGAGCCTTGGCTCGAACCAGACTTACCAAGTATGCCACGAAGGACAGGTAGACCACACTGAGAACTGCAGCCCCAATGTATAAAGCCAAGTGGTTCAGGGACATGACATAGGCCACCACAAAGTACATGTTAATGCTGCAGATGAGGAGGATCAGGAGGCCTCCAGCCACCTTCCAGAACCTGCCAGTGGAACAGAAACAAGCTGGGGTGAGGGGGAGGGGCCGCCCTTGTGTTTGGAGCTTACACTCAAGGCCTCGAGGTGAGGAGAGGAATGGAAGGTGTGCCTGGGGGGTGCACCACACCATCTCCTGCCCACAGGAGATCCCCCTCCTACTTACAATCCGTTGGCAAAGTCATTCATGACACTGGGCAGGCTGGTGAAGGTCAGGACAGGGATCAAAGCGAAGGGAAGCTGGAATAGGCAAGAAAATACAGAACAGAGGGGAAATTGTTCTGATTATCTGAGCACAAAGAAACATCCGAGGATTGCTCATATCTGACAGCATTTCCCCACAGCTATTGTAACCTGAGCCAAAGGGACTTCCCCTGGCTGGGAGAAGGAAGCAATTGCAGACCCTGGCTGATCCTCCCCATCTGCTCCCAGCAGATCAACATCTCCTGACAGAACCTGCTCTGCTCAGAGGCTCCTGCAAACCCACAGGCACCAGAAACTGAAATATTCCGTGCTGGATGTTTTTTGCCAAGGCCTGACTCTCAGACTGGGCACTGCTGCTCACCTGGAGGCTCATAAGAACGTTTAAGAAGTCGTTCATGCCAGTGAGGTGTTCCACATCCTGGAAGATGGACACGAAGAGCGTGGGGGTGATGGCGATGGAGCGCGTCAGCAGCACCCGGGCAAAGCGAGACCACCGCAGGTTCAGGAAGCCCTGAGGGAAAAACCAGAGCAGCTGCTGGCTGGAAACAGCGAGGGGACTCCAAGTTTCAAGAAGATCTGGACAGTCTGGAGAGCTGAGCAGAGAGGAATCTCATGAAGTTCAACCAGAGCAAGTGCAGGGTCCCCCTCCTGGGCAGGAATAACCCCATTGACCAGGACAGGACCCATGGACCAAGCAGCTCCCAGGAGGAGCTGGGAGTGCTGGGGGACAGTGTTGCCCATGAGCCAGCAATGGGCTCTCATGGCCAAGAAGGCCAATGTTTTCCTCGGGGGCATGGAGAAGAGTGTGGCCAGCAGGTCAAGGGAGGTTCTCCTGCCCCTCTCCAGCCACCTCTGCAGTGTTCGGTCCAGTTCTGGGCTTCTCAGTTAAAGAGAAAGAAGGAGCTACGGAAGAGAGTCCAGCAGAGGCTCTAGAGATGCCAAGGGGACTGGTGCATCTCTGTGCCCAGGAAAGGTTGGGAGCCCTGGGCTGTTGGCCCTGGAGAAGAGAAGACTCAGAGGGGAATATTCTGGGATTAAAAGTTGCTTTGGTTGAGAGGCACATCAGGGAGTTTTATGGAGCTTCCATCACGAGCTGGGTTGTCCAAGGAAGAGGAACCATCAGTACAAGGTTCAAAGGCTCAGGAGTGGAGAGAACGAGGATGCCAGCAGCCACCCCCTACCTCCATGACAAACTGCCCAGAGTACGTCCCCGTCATCGTTGAGCTCTGGCCGGCAGCGAGGATCCCGATGGCCCAGATGTAGAGAGCAGCAGGGCCAAAGTAACACCCCAGGACGACACCCTGGAAGAGATTTGTGGTCTCATGTCAGCTCAGTCCCACACATGACAGCGGGATCAAGGACGAGCCGGCGAATTCCCTTGTGACCAGATTAATCACGGGCGTGGTGTTGAGAGAGAGGGAAAATCCATTTATAGGAGAAGAAGAAGTTGCTTTTCCTCATGTTGGTCACAGACGAGGCAATACCTCAGGCTGTGGTTTTAACAAAGCAGGTTCAGGGTGGACACAGGGAAAATCCTCATCCCAGCCACACTAAGACAAGAGGGGGAAGACAGCTGGGGCATTCTGGGGCCAGGTAGGACACACCACAATTAGCACAGTGATAGATAATTTTGGCTTTGTTTTTGGTGATCCCATTACAGGTCCTGGCCTTCAACACTCCCTGTTCCCCCAAAAGAAGGAGCTGCTGCCAGAGAAGGACCCTGGGCCACTCACCCCTTTGTAGATGTCCACTTCCAGCGTCTGGTTGTTGTTTGGGAAGAGTGAGGAGTGGGGGCTGCTGGTGTTCATGCAGACGTTGTTCTGCAATGACACGAAGGGGCAAAGGCTTAGCTCTGCTCAGCTGGAGGGAAGTGAGGATGAATGGAGAAGGCTGCACACGAGGAGCAGCGGGTGCTGGAGGTCCCAAGGTGCTGGGGGCCTCTTCAGACTGGTTTAAATGGAAATAATCAGCACCCTGTTCTTTTTTCCCCCCTTTATGCACAGAATACAGGGCTGTGCTTGAGCCAGGGGCACTGGTCAGGCTCGGAGCTGCTGCTCTGCTGCCACGGGTCGGCACCAGCCGGGCTGTGAGGACCAAGCCCCAGCCCCAACTCACCACGTCCGCGTTCGTCTTCTCGAAGAACGCCTCGGCGAAGACAGTCACCACGAAGATATTGATGATGAAGGAGACGAAGAGAGCTATGCAGGACTCAATGAAGAAATACTTGTTAGCTTCTTGGACTTCCCTTTTGTTTGCACGGTTCACTTGCCGGGACTAAAAAGGGGATGGTGACACCAGCAGGCTTGAGAAAGAGGAATTCACTATTGAATTACTCTATCTGCAATTATCCCGAATTAGGCAGTGGGACATGGGTCAGTGGATGGGAAGAGAACGTGCTGGAGGGAAGAAAAAGCAAACCCCAGCCTCTGCAGAGCAAGGAGCGGCTGGTTCTGCCAGCGTGGCAGTGCTGGCTGCAAGACACACTCTGGGTCCCACAGCCACAAAGGAGACGTGTCCCGGGGCTCTCGTGGCTCTTGCTGAGCTGGGGGCCTGGCCAGCCTCCCTCGGGGGGATTTGCCCCGCCCCGTCCCGGCACCCCCGGGGCACCCCTGGAGCTGCTCACCTTGACCAAGGCCGAGTGCAGGTACATGTTGTGCGGCATGATGACGGCACCCACGATGCCCACGGCCTGCTCCAGCTGCGGCGTGCCGCAGTTCTGGCAGTAGGGGACGAACAGCCCCTGCAGCAGCTTCCCCTGGTCGGGTTTTACGGTGATGTACTGGGCACGGGGACGAAGGAAAGGGGGGTTGTGGAGTCGCTCGGGTTCGACGGCGCCCGGGAGCCAAAATGTGTCACCGAACATCGGGGTGGTGGAAACGCCAAGGGAGGAGGTGGGGGGAAGGTTACCTCGTATCCAAACGTTAGAGCCATGATGGTAATCAGAAACCCAAACAACGCTTCCAGCTTCCGCAAGCCTGTGAGAAGCAAAAGGACCGTCAGCAGATGGAGAAAAGCTGAATCTCAGACTCAGTTTCTGGAATTTGGGAGCAGAAATTACCGTATTTGTCCAGGAAGAGGAACACAAACGTGTCAGCGATGGTGATGAGCACGCCGCCCCACAGCGGGATCCTGCGAGAGACGGGCAGACGTCAGCACACAGGGCACCTGCCCCTCCTCCACCAGCACAACACCCCCTCAGAGTCCAGACCCCTTCTCATTCAGGGCACTTGCTTGGGGACAGACCCCTGCTGTCCAGGAGTTTGTTTGCAGCCTGAGAAGACGTGGCAGGGGACCATGGGCTCGCTTGCCGCGCAGCCAGCTGAGGTAAGAGCTCTCTCCCTCTCTCCCTCTCTCCCCGAATCTCCCCAGCAAACCCCACGTCCACACTGAGCGTGACAAGACTGGCTGAGACTTTTAATAGTGGCTTGGTACAAAATTGTAGCTTTCTGTTCTTTTGGATTCCAAACGCTCCTGGCCAGAGAGGACAGCTTTCTGACACTGCTTTCTGGGGAATGTAACATTTGCCAGGAAAGCTGCAGCCCAGTTTTGGTGTGTATCAGTTATAGCTAAAATGAAAGCCAGAACCAACAGTTCTCCTTAGTGCCAAAAAAAACCCAGGCACCAAGGGATGAGTCGCCTGCAAGAGCTGGCACAGCTGAGATGAATCACCCTCTACAAAGAGCTTATTCAGAAAATTTATAGGAAATAAGTGAGTCTTTTTTGACCCACACAGTGCCCCTTTCCTAATCCTGGTGGACAGCACTCATTTCCTGCTGCCCTCCGATGACAAACTCAACTTACTTCCCCACAGACAGGAGGTTAATGGCAATCGCTGAGCCAATGACTTCTTGCATATCAGATCCAATGATGGCAAGCTCGACCATCAGCCACAGGATAATTCGAGGAACCTGTGGGTAAAGACATAAAAAAGAGGAGACGTGTTCTCCCTTTGACTTCCTGGATGAGCACGGGGTTGTGGTGATGGCACGTTCTCCTTTCCCTGGCTGTGGTGGGAAAATATTTTTATGATTGCCACTGTACGGCTGGTCCAGAGCAGAAATCCAGGTTATCTGTGGCAATCATGGGAGGAGGTTCCCAGGCCACTTAGATCACCTAAATCACTCCTCTAGACACACTTTGCTCGTTGCAAGAGCGACACGGGGTGTTTGCATGTACCAAGGTGCTGGAAATGAGCACCAGAGGATGTTTCACATGGTCAGACCAGTGACGAAGTCCCAGGTGTTGGATGAGAAACATCAAACTGCACATTGCTGGGGACATCCCGGACTTCCCCACAGCCCTTTCCCAAGGGGTGGCCTCACTCATCTCCAGCTGAACGGGACACGGACCCTTTCTTACGCAAGCCAAGAAGATTTCTTAAACAGGGAAATTTAAGGGTTTTGTTCTAAAAGGCCATGAACCTTCTCAAGATTCCTTGAGCTTATTTATCATGAGTCATAGAGTCCCAGGGTGGCAGGGATCTCAATGATCACCTGGTCCAACCTTTCTTGGGAAGCGAGAAGTACTTCAGCCCCAGGAGGCAGCAGCTCTTTTCCAAACAGAAAAGCTGGAATCCTAGGTTTGATTCCTGACTCTGTCAGGACATTTGCCCCACCACCCTCCTTGCACTTTACTTTCTGCAGGATAGGGAGGATGCCAATGGGACCTGAAGCCTCTGTCACCCGCTCTCCCAACAGCCCAGGCTCTTCACAAGCCCTTTGCTTTACATTAGGGCTACAATTAAAAACTTGCTCTAAATCTGCCTTTCTCCCAGCTGTGAGTCAAACCAGAAGAAATCAGCTCAGTCCCCCAGCATCTTGGACAGTAAAACAAGATGGGACAACGAAAATGTATTTCAACCACCAGAACACTTTCTCCCGAGGAGGATTTGGCACTTCAGAGGCAGCAGTGACCCCCTGCGAGACCTGCCCACCCCAGGTGAGAGCCCCAGTGCCCCAGCCCCG